TTGAACCACCAGCCTTCTGGTTAGCAGTCAAATGCCTTAGGCCCTACGCCACCAGAGCTCCTAGCAAAACCAATAAAACCTGTATCTATGGAGAGAGAAAGAGAGAGAGGAATATTTATCTCAGGGAAATGGCTTACACAGTCGTAGAGGCTGGCAGGTCCCACATTCGTGGGTCAGTGTGAAGCTGGAGGCTTTTCCTGACTCCCGCAGCTGCAGGGGCTGGAACCTCACATCAGCAGGCAGTGTAGCCGGCTGCTGACTTCAGCAGATGAGGAAGCCAAGATCAGCAGGTAAAATGGTGGCTCGTTGGCTCACAGGCTGGGAAGACAATTCCAAGATCAGCAGACAATATGGCAGGCCACTGGTTCAGCTCCAAAACCCAGGTGATGACAAGCTAGATGCAGGATCCAGATCCAATACAGAAAGTCCGAGCCTTTTCCCAGGACGCCCATATGTAGGCTGGAGGCAGGCCACAGCCCCAAGGAAACTCCCTTTCGGCTGACGGCTGCTCGTGGCACATCCCACCAGTGGGGTGACCTTACCTCAGATCTCGTCATGGCAACGCCCACACCACAGCTGCTTAGACCACTCAGAATCATGGTCCGGCCAACGTGACGCACAACCTTACTGTCACAGCATTGTTACGGCCACTGTGTCCCTCCAGCTCACTGAGAGGTGCCCCCTTTTCACTGAGCATGCATGATGCCCTTGCCCAGGGCCTGCTCCCTTCCTGTCATGAGAGCTGAAGTCTGGCTGCTCTCACTTCTGTGCGGTCCGCCTGTGCTTCTTCCACAGGTGTTCTTGTTCTTCTGCCGGTCCGTGTATTTTTGCTATTCTTCACTAACATCACAATTCAAAGGCGTCAAATTTTCGGAGAACCTCTTTATTCATTGTCCAGCTCTCATATGCGTATAGGCCATTGGCAACACCATGGCTTGGGTCAGGAACACCGTAGTCCTTACAGTGACATCTTTGCCTTTTAACACTTTAAAGAGGTCTTTTGCAGCACACTTACCCAACATAGTACATTGCGTGATTTCTCGATTGCTGCTGCCATGGGTGTTGATCATGGAGCCAAGGGAAATGAAGACAAAATGCAATCTCTGATGTCTTGGGTCTTTCTCCCCTTATCGCAGTGTTGGCGTACAGATGACAGCCTTGAAAACCCCATGGCCGCCCTTCTCTGTCACGTGGGGTCTCTGTCAGTCAGCAGCAACTCACTGGCAGCCAACAACAACAACTACAGTGCAGGTGCCTCGGTGGTGTGAACAGTTTGAGCTCGGCTGCTAACCAAACACCCACGTGTTTGCTCTGCCCAGGAACTCATCGCTGTTAGAAACCCGTCCAAGGCATGCTGAGTGCCTCAATTTCCAAATCCATGCCTCTCCAAAGTGATTTTCTTTTACATCTTCATTTGTTTCCATTTTGAAGAAGTAAGTAGAACTTAGTAGCTGTGATGATGAGCCACACTTTGTAAGGGACTGAGTTGAACGTTAGGGAGTCCGGCCAGGGGCTGCCGTCGGTGCACAGCACAGTCCACGCGGCTCCTTTGCGTCAGATGCCAAATGCTCGGGAGCCACTGCCAGGTGGAGGCCAAGAGGGGGCAGGAAGCAGGCACCCGAGGAGGGTCGCAATGCTGCAGGTCTCGGAGATGCCGTGGGTTCCGTTCCAGACCACCGCAGTAAAGTGGATGTTGCGGTAGTCATGTGGATTGTTCTCATTTCCCAGTGCATCTAAAAGTCACAGTGACACTATTCCTTAGTCTATGAAGTGTCCTGTAGCATGAGGAAAAAGATTTGTGAGAATGACCAGAATGGGACACAGAGACACAAAGTGAGCACGTGCTGTCGGAAAAACAGTGCCAGTAGACTTGCTCCACGCTGGGTCGGCACAAACCTTCAGTTTGCAAAAAACATGGTGTCTGCAGAGCGCACCTTGGCGAGGTGCGCCTGTAAATCCGTCCCCTCCTTCCACCCTCCATGTTCCCGCTCAGTGCCTTCCCTTCTGGATTTCTGCATTTTCTGTTCGTACAGATTATTTTTACCAGATGCACCCAAGGCACCATTCTCTCCCATGACTGGGCAATTGTTTCCAAAGAGTTAGTTTTTAGAATTTATAGCCTGTTCTTTTCCCTGAGTGATTATTCCAAAGCCAAGTCCATGTCTGAGCCCATTGGACCAGCCTACTACTGCTCATCAGGAAAGCATTTTTAGAGACCACGGCAAGATGAAGTTACAAACTTTATGTCATTCCAGCGTGGGTCACAGAGGGTCAGCGAGAAAGGGGAAGGCCCTCGATGAGATGGACTGACGCGGTGGCTGCCATGATGGGCCCAAGCACAGCCAGGACCGGGAGGCTGGTGCGGGACCAGCAGGGTTCCGTTCTGCTGTTCGTCGGGTCACTCTGAGTCGGAGCCCACTCACTGGTCCTTAATGAAAATAGCCATGGACCAGGTGAAATTACGAAGTTTCTATCTTTCTTCTCTGAGTTAAGTGCTGGATTGTTTATTCTGAAAAATTTCCACCATTTTCAGCCCCTTAAAATTAAGTTTTTCCAAGTCAGGAGAGAGTGTTCCTGGATGGAAAAGCTATGTCATAGACACTTGATGGAGTTCACTGGAACGTTGACCCCAGATTTGTTTTTCCACAAAATCAAAAATCACAGCTCAGGCTTCCCATGCTGCCTTCCTCCCACAAGGGAATCATGTCTGGACTCCATCACTGGGTCCAGCCACTGCCTCATTCCTGTCCGTAAAGTGAGAGCGGGAATGCCCCCAGCAGGGTTGTTGGGGAGATTAAATGCAGGAATGACCGTGTGGAGAACAGCCCAGTGCCTGGTCTGTCAATTGTGCTCACACAATGGCGGCTGTCCTTGTTACCTAAGTTATCATCGTTGTTAGCTGTCGCTGACTGGTGGCGGCCTTGTGTGTAGCAGAGTGAGCCGTTTCCTGGCCCAGCATCACCCTCGTGATGGCCGATGCGTGAACCCGTTGTTGGGGCCATTGGGTCAGTCCGTCTTACGGAGCGCTTTCTTTGCTTGCACTGACCCTGTCCTTTGCCAAGGTGCCCTTTGCTCTTGATGGGGCTTCCTTGATGACCTGTGCCAAGTGAGGGAGTGGAGTCTCACCTTCTTGCATCCTCAGACGATGCTGGTTGCATCTCAGACTGTTTCACCCCCTCTTTCGCAGTCTGTGTATGTTCTATATTCTTCACCAACGCCGCAATCTGATCGCACCAATTCTTCTGTCTTCCTGAAGGTAAAAGTCCCTGGGGAAGATGAGCCTTACGAGAGCAAGAGTCCGTGGACCACAGCTGGCACGGCGGGACCTGTGCCTTCCTGCCACCTCACTTGCTGACCTCCTGCTCTCCTGCCTTAGGGGCTGGGTGCTGCTGGCCCTGGGTCACCAGAATGTCCCTCCCCTCGATGTCTGACTGCCTCACTCCTGCCAGTCTCTGCTCCAGGGTCACCTGCCCAATGAGGCCTACCTGGACCTCCCTGCTTGGAGCTGCAGTCACTTCCTCTTTGGGCGTTTCCAACCCCCTCCTGGCTCTTTGTGTTATCTCCTAACCTACTGGGGGGCCAGTTGTGGTTCAGTCTTCACCTTCCATGGGGACAACCCGGGTTCAGTTCCTGACCAGTACATACACCTCAGGTGCAGTCACCACCCAGCTGTCAGCGGTGCCTTGAGTGTTGCTAGGAGCTGAACAAGTCCCAGCAGAACTTTCAGCTAAGACAGGCTAGAAGGAAAGACTGTCCACCTGCTTCCAAAAATCAGCCCATAAACACCCTGTGGGTCACAGCGTCCCCCAGGCCGCACCCGCTCGCCCTGTGGGTCACAGCATCCCCCAGGCCGCACCCGCTCACCCTGTGGGTCACAGCATCCCAGACTCATGGGGATGGCGTGACGCTGGGCAGCGTTTCCTTCCATTCTGCATGGAGTCACCATGAGGTGGGGGTGGCCAGCAGCCAGGGACAGCCACCCACAGTGCAGTGGACTTTCATGTTCTGTGTTTGACCTCTCTTGCCCCCACAAGAACGTGTATGTGTCTAAGGTGTCACCCTCTGGTGTGCCCCAGCACCGAGGGCTGTACCTGGCACACGACAGGCACTCCGCAGGTGCCGAGAGGATGCATGGGCATCACGTGGTGCTTCTCCACTTGCACACTCATAGTCCGCTTTTAAAGTGCTGGTTCCAGTAACGAGGCGCGGCTGTCATTTCTCTAACGTGCTTCTGCTGGTGATGATCACAAACACGAGCAGACTTGACCATTTCCAGAGCACGGCGTAGCGTCAGTGGTGCACCAGGCTGCAGGACGTCTTCAGAACGTGCTCCTGGGCGAATGTCCGATCGTCACAGAAGAGTGATCACAAAGCACTTGCTTGAAAGACATTAGTTTATTTTCCTGATTTCTGTGCTTACCTAAAATGTCCTCTCTTTCAGGGACAAGCTGAAAGATCATGTAGAAGAGATCAGCAAAGCACTTAGCAAGCTAGACAAGTCCAAAAATGGCTATGTACCCGTGAGCAAGATGCAGAAGGTTCTGCAGGAATGTGGGTGCTCCCTGAAAGAAGAGGAGCTCACCAGCCTTCTAAACAGGTTCTCTTAACTGGGTTAACGGGTTTCTCAGGAGTCCCTAGGGCGTGCACATGGTTCCACGCTCAGCTCACCTACCCAGAGGCTCCTGGGCAGAAAGGCCTGGCCGTCTGCTCTCAAAAGGTCACAGCCTTGGAAACCCTGTGGAGCAGTTCTTCTTGGTACACGGGGGCCGCCGTGAGGTGCAATGAGAAGGGACTCCGTGGTCGCTGACCACCACAGACACGTGTCTCCCGCAGGGCTGAACCCGGGCCGGCAGCTTGCTTGTGTTCCTCGTGATGTGGCCTCTCAGGCGGCCTTTTGACACGGACGTGTCCTCCATGTGTTCCTTTTCACTGGCTCCAGGATGATGCGGTTGAGTCAACCAGGAGCACAGAGAAAGCGACTTGGCCGGGGCCCTTGTCCACGCAGCAGCAGCGTGTTTGGAATCTGGTTTTTCTTTGCTCCTGATGATTCCTGTGCTTAGTCAGGAGCCCGATGGTCCTACCAGGCTCTTGTTAGAAACTGCAGTCCCGCCCTGCTCCTGCCCTCCTGCCCGTCTCCAGAGCCAACAGCCCTTTTAACTGCTGTCCTTTCTTTGAGAGCTCACTCCTTCTAAGTGACCAGCTCACATCACTGTTTCCTGATTGGTAACTTGGAGGCAGCGTCTGTGGCTTCCTGCAAGGAAGTGCTGTGGATTTAGGTTTTTTTTCACCTGTCACACACCACCCCACCCCCAACCCATCACCCTCTACCACCCACAGAAACAGACACAAATTTGTTTCCATGTGTTCCCCAGACTATTGCATTTGTGTGTGTGTGTCTCTGTGTGTGTGTCTCTCTGTGTGTGTGTCTGTGTGTGTGAAAATACACACAACAGAATATGCACCACTTCCACCGTTTCTCTGTTCACAGCTCGGTGCCAGCAGTTGCACCGTCATTAACACAAACTCGCGGTGCCCCTAAGCATCTCATTACCTGTGTCAGGTGGGTCATCTAGAGACAATTCTCTGTATCATGCTCTACATACACATTCTTCTCTAATTAGGCAAAATTGTTACTTGGATTACAGACAACTCCAGGAGAATTGTTTTGGCTCAAGGTTTAAAGATTTCTTCAGGGTGGTAGTTTCAGGGAGTTGTCCGACCTCAGTGGCTCCAGAAAATCTGGCGTCCGTGAGAATTTGAAATCCCATTCTGTGCTTTCCCCTTTTGGCTCAGGATTCTGCCACAGAATCCTTGATCTAAATGTGTCTCCAGTGTTGGTGGCCGGGCACCATCCAGCTCTTTCTGGTCTCATGGGATCATTACTTCTTAACATTCGGAGTTGGCATTATTGTGAGTAGCCGGTTGCTTTTCCTTTCTTACATAGCATTGTGTTCTCCCAGGATTTCATACTTAATTATTTGTTCCCTAGTTTCCCGTGCTCTTGTCATCACTGATTAAACCCCGAAGGTCCCCCTAGTGAAATCTCTTTCCAGATTGTTCAGACACATCAGCTCTTCACTGGCTTCATCTTCTTGAAGTTGGGCCTTTTCATGGTCTCAGTTCTCAGCAGTGTGTTGATGTAACCTGTTAATGACTTCCTCTCCTGTTCTTCCTGAAACACCTATTGGTGTAGAATGTGGAACTGCCTGTGCTATTTCCCTGTAAGTTTTCACTTTTTCCTAGTCTCCATATCTTTCCCTTTTGCTCTGCCTTCTGGGAGATTTCCTGTTTTAGCTCCCAGCCCTTCTTTTGAGATTTTTGTTTCTGCTGTCATATTTATCATGTTTTTAATTACTAAGAGCTCATTTTTGTTCTCTGACTGTTCTTTTAAAAAAAAATTGCACCCTGTTTTTCATTTCCTGGAACGCCTGTCTTATTTCTCTAAAGATACTCACGGTAGTTTTCTTCACTGGAGAAGTCTCTGCTTAGTGTTGCCTTTTTCTGCTGTCTTTTCTGTTCTTTTGGGTGCTTTCCATGTGAAAGATGGGGTGCTAAGAAGCAGATTCAAAGCTCTGCACACGGAGGCGAACGTTGTTGTCGACTCTGGTCTGAGAAGGCTGGTAATCCGATAGGTGCTTTCCTCAGGCCACTCCCAATGTCAGCATCCTGAAAGCTTTTCTGTTGGGCTGGTCAGATTTCCAGAAACTAGAGTTGCCATACAAATATACGGGATGCCCAGTTAAGTTTGAATTTCAGATAAAAATGAATATCTTTCATAGAAGTCTGCCCCAAATATTTCATGAGATATGCCTATTGTATTTTTACACAAATAATGCAGGTGTTATACATTTTTTGCAACCCATGCAACTTCTTTGCATGTTAGTTTCCTGTGTGTGCTGTGTGTGTTATATGCATGTGCATGTTATTTACATGGACATGTTATATGCAGAAAATACAGTGCATACTAAAACAATTTTTAAAATATCATTGTTTATCTGCAATTTGAATTTAGCTAGATGTCCCTGTAGATTTTTTGCTAAATACAGCAACCCAAGCAGAGAAGACTCGTCTGATTTCCTGCTGCCAGCACTCTGGGAGCTGACTGGGAGAAGACGATGAGAAGTTTCAACAGTCCATGTGGTAGGCCAGCTGAATAATGGCTCCCCACAGCATCCAGGCCCTAATCTCTGGAACCTGTGGATGGTACCTTATATAACAAAAGAGTCTTTGCAGATGATCACAAGGTAAGGAATCGTCGTTGGTACCAGGTGCAGCTGAGTTGGCTCTGACTGGCAGCAGCCTTCTGTCCGACGAGCCACGCGTCCAGTCCTGCACCCTCCTCACGGTCGTTGCTCTGGAGGCGCTGGGTCAGTCCGTCTCCGTGAGGGGCTCCCTCTTTTTCACTGACCCTCCTCTTTACCAAGCGTGACGTCCTTTTCCAGTGATGGGTTCCTCCTGACATGTCCAAAGTAAGCGAGATGTACTCTGGCCTTCCCTGCCTGTAAGAAGCCTCTTGGCCGTCCTTCCTCCAAGACAGATTCCTTGAGGTGGAGATGACCCCGCATTACCCAAGTGAGCCATGTTTGTGCTCGCAGGGATCCCTATAAGAGCAAGGCAGATAGACGGTTCACCCAGAAGAGGAAAAGGTACCGTGAGCCCGGTTTCAGAGGTAGAAATTGGAGTCATGTGGCCACAAGCCAACTTAACGCCTATAGCTCCAGAAGCTGCCGAGACAAGGAGCAGAGTCTCCCCTGGAGCCTCTGGAGGGAGCATGGCTCCCAGCATCTCAGTTGTGGCTCACCGAACCTCGTCCAGACTCCTGGGACCCAGCGCCGTGGAGAGCAAGTGTGTGTGGCGTGAAGCCACCATGTTTGTGGTGAACAGAGGCCCTCCAGTTCAGAAACGCTGTGTTACCCTCTCCAGAGAGCACACCCTCAGGTCTTCTGTTGGGGTGGGGAGGGCCAGCACCTAGCCACATGGAGTTTGGGGAGAGGGTGTGGGGTCTGCATGCTTCCCATATAGATTTTTGACCTGTCCTGGCAATGTTGTTGTTGTTGTTATGTGCCGTTAAGTCAGACCTGACTCATAGTGACCCCTCCTTCGATTTTGGAGGCAGTATCTCTACGGAAGGAGATTGCCCCATCTTCCTTACGAGGAGTGGCTGGTGGGTTTGAACTTCCAGCCTTCTGGTTAGCAGTCAAGTGCCTTAGGCACTATGCTACCAGAGCTCCCCATCCTGGCAATGAGTGAGATTTAATTCTACGTTTAATATTTTGAGGCACCACCAAACTTTTCTGGAGTGGGTGAACTATTTCATATTCCCGCCAGTAATGCATGAGATTTTCAATTTCTTCATATCCTTGACAGCACGTGTTATTTGCAGATAGATAACAACCATCCTCGTGGGTGTGAGGGAGTATCTTACTGTGCTTTTGACTTGCATTTCCATAGTGACCAGTGATGCTGACCATCTTTCCCTGCGGTCATTTGTGTATCTTTTTGAAAGAAATGTTTCTTCAAGCCTTTTGTCTATTTCTAAATTAGGTTATTTGGTTTTGTGGTGGTTGTTGAGTTGTAGGAGTTCTTTACATATAATGAATATCAAATCCCCATCACAGTTTTAAAGTCCTTTCTCCCATTTCTGTGGGTTGTCTTTTCACTCTCTTACAGTGTCCTTTGATGCATCCACTTTTTCCTTTTGATAAAGGCCTGTGAATGCATTTTCTTGTTATTGTTGCCTGTGCTTACATGACATATTTAAGCATCCATTGTCAAATCCGAGGCAGTGAAAATTCCCCATGTGTTTTCTTCTGAGAATTTTGTAGTTCTAGGTCTTTTGGTATGTAGTGTAAGTAGCAGGAGGTAAAGGTCCAATTTCATTCTTTGATAAGTGGATGATACCAGTTGGCCTGGCACCATTTGTTAAAGAGATGCCCTTTCCCCATTGAACATTCTTAGCATCCCTTTCAAAATCAGTTGACACCTAAATAGATAGCTGTACACCAATGCAGCACTATTCACAATAACCAAAGGCTGAAAACAGACTAAGTGTCCATCACTAGATAAGTGGGTAAACAAAATGTGGTGCATACGCACAGTGGACTTCTGCTCGGCCACGAAGAGCAAGAAGTCGTGCTCCATGCTACCCTGTGGATGAACCTTGATGCGTTCTGCTGAGTGAAACAGACCAGTCACTAAAGGACAGGTCTCGTAGGATCCCACTTACATGAATATCTGCAGTAGGCAAGTGTAGAGAGACCAAAGTTGGTTCGTGTTATCAGGACGGGAGGAGGGAGGGAGAAGGAAGACTCAATGTGAGGGGATCCTGAGCTTCTATTAAGAGGATGATATGACTTGGGAATGAATAACTATGTCAATAATAACTATGTGCAGTAACTTTGCACATACAAAGACTGTTGAAATGTCCAGTGTTTTGTTACTGTATTTGCCACAAAAAAAATCGTTCTGCCATATTCATGAGCATGTGATGCCCTTCCATTTATGTAGTTTTTTCATTACTTTCAGCAGCATTTTGTGATTTTTAGTGTAGGAGTCACTGATAGTTGGGAAATTTGGCCTTGGCAACAGAAATAATGCTGGAACTCGCATGGTAGAATTTTGCAAGACCAACGACTTGTTCATTGCAAACACCTTTTTTCAACAACACAAACAGCGGCTCTACATGTGGACTTCACCAGATGCAA